ATGCAGTAGTAGCGTATAGATGAGTTTTCCTGCTGTTAGTTTCATTTTCATGCAACGCGGATGTTTATTATAAATAGGCCTACAATGTACAGTAAGATTTCTTCCAGTTTTTTTAAGCATCTCTTGTTTATTTTGATGAGCTCACATTTTGTTGCATTCACAAGTACATTGGGTAAAAAGATGTCATTGTGCTCAGTGTGTAAAAAAAAGAAACAAACATGTATGGATAATGTTAGTTTCGAATCTTTCTCACAAAGTTCATGTTAAAGGTTAGTTAGGAGTCACTTCTACTTTTTTATCTATAATACAAGTAAAGCCTCCTTCAAATATACAGCATCAACGAGGATGCTTCTTTAAATCTTGAGAAAGACAACATTGATCACATAAGTGAGTGTCAGAATGAATGTTCCAGAACAAAATTCAGACACCATGGTAAAAAGTTAAGCTTTAATATTTTAAGAAAGTATTTATTTAGGCAAACAATAAATACCTACAAGCAAGAAGGGATAGAGGTAAATTGTGAGCCCAATGACTGTTGACAAATGACTAACCTTAGATACAGGGCAAAAAACAAACAGTAGAACAAATGAGGAAGCACAGGTGCAGAGTTGCCTAATTCCCAAAAGGTTCTGGCTGAGAGAGAAATGGTAGAACAAAGAACAAACAACAAAGATGGATCCAATAATCTAGAAAAGAAAAATGACTTGAGGATGTAAAAGGAAAACCACATACGGTAAATATTCTTAACGATAATTAAGGGAAATAAACATAAAGCAAAAAAAGGCACAGCCCTAATGACAAAAATAACAAAAATGGCAAGATCCAAACTTATAAAGTTGACAAGTATTTTTGAATATAACTAACTTCAGCGTGTTAGACCATCCAATCACAGGCCCAATTCAGTGGCGCATCAGATGTTTGTACAGTGAGCTTCTCAGGAGTGACAGCGGTGACAGCCAATCACACAGGAAAAGACTTTGAGCCAATCAGGAGCTTGTGGGCGGTCTGAACTCAGGGAAGCGGGCTTCAGTTTGATCTGCTATTTTCTGCTTGGTCCCTGTGCTCAACGAATGTCTGTGTACTGTAACGTAACATAGTTTTTGGACAGTAAAAATTGCAGGGGAACAAAATGGACCTTTGAATAAGTGCCCCTCCTAAAATGACATCCATGAATCCACTACATTTCTAGGAATCTAGACATTGCTCATTCCTTTCGGTTCAGCTAGCTTTGTAATCTGCTTTTGCTCTTTTCTTTTCTTGAAATGCAATTGGCCACACTACGGCCGTTTCTCAATGTGTACTTGTGCGTTCTCATGTGCTCGTGAAACATCATCAGTCACAGCCCTAATACTGTTCCAATTCACTAGAACAAAAGACCAAGAACGGACAAAGTCCCCCGATGTTGTTCTCTCCCCTCTCTCGTTACTCAGCATGCTTTAGAGCCTACTTTAGAGCAGCAGCAGCTTCCAGGTTAGCGCTGACAGTGCTCAGAGTATTGAGTTAAAAATTCTCTTTTCTGTTGCTGTTGTTTAATAAAAGTATATTTTAAGATCATTTGAGGCGAAAACATTATACTTTTAAGCATCTCTATATGGCCCATTTACTGATTTTGTGCATAATTTAAAATAAGTTCTGATGATAAGAGGACCGAGGCAACCAGCGGAGCGCCAAGGCTAATGTTAGCCTGTCTGCAGCAGCCCTCTCTCTGCATAGATGCATAGTATCGCTGGCTCTGATGGGGATTTTGTTTTATTTAGCAAAGTATTGTTTTGATTTGTGTTTATCTGACTGTGTTCATTATTATTCCCCCACTAAATGAAAAAAGTAAGAATATATTATTATCTACAGAGTATCAATAACAGCTGAAATGCAGCTCCAGATGAGCCGAGCATGTGGTGATGTCATCAGTACGCTTCTGTTCCAGTTGACCCATATTTATGCTGCGTGCTCTTGTTGTCCTGGAGTCCACACTTTCCTGTGTTCTTGTCAAGAACATACTTGGTGAGGACACAAGTCCAAACTCGCGTTCTTTTGAATTGAGAAACGGCAAATGGTTCTAACAAAGTTCAAAGTTCATCCTTTAGAACAGCTGTCTTGGATGTTTAAGTTATCTCTTTTTCAGCACACCTGCGTCAAATGGTAGCTCATTAGTTTGAATTGGTTCCATTTCATTCTCATTGTTCTTTGTTTAGATCTATACTCAGTTTCATGTGTCTTTTCCTTCCAACTTTTTTCCTTTCAGTCATCGTCTCTTTTCAGAGCTTTGCGTAGACTCCTCCAAAACTCTGGCCTCCTGTCCTCCTCCTGAGGCCA